CATTCTTGTGTTCTTCATCGGTCATGCTATCATCAACATTCGTCTTTAGCCCTCACCTCTTGGCAATCAGGCAATCAGGCAATCAGGCAATCAGCACTGGCAATGCTATGATGTCTAGTTAGCTGCAATATTTTGGATGACATGAAGCCTGCCAGTGTCAGTACTGCCTGCCAGTGCCTAATTTGGAAAATGGAGTCGAAGAGTAGTGATTAATTGAAAGAGTAAACTGTCATTTAACCCCCTAAACTATCACGTCAGTGTCAATTTCCCCCCTGAACTATTTTTTTGGCCAATTGACCCCCTAAACTATGTTAAAGTGGCCAATTGACCCCCTACCGTTAAGTATCTTTAACTCCATCCAATTTTCTGTTAGAAAGTGTCATGTGCTTGGCACATGACCACCTTTTTACATTTTATGTCTAAATCTTTACAAAGAAAACATATAAAACAAATATTAAAAAAAAAACATACAAACCCTAAACTTAATCATTCAAAATAATAGAAAAAGTAAGGCTTTTTATATTAACCCCACAAAATGTTGAATGCACCCCATATTAAAATTTAATATTAAATGACTTATTTACTCTACTATGCAATGTCAATTTTGACCTTATTAGGTTTTTTAAAAAATAAAATTTTATAAATACACCCCAAATCACTTTTAGTGTATTATTTATCTTCTCAACTATCAAAACACTCACATCCTCCATTGTTGAACAAAACCCTAACCAATGAAACTACAAACATGTTGACTGAGAAAAATTGTTTTTGACGAATGAAACGCGAAATCGATGTTTCTGAAGCTTCACATGAGGTAAGACTTCACATTTTTCATTGTTTTAGTGATTTCGATGACATCGATAATTATTTAATCTTGTGTTTGCTACATTATTTTTCAATATGAACCCTAAAAGATGAATATGAATATGAATATAGAAGTTTGAATAATGCAGCAAATGCAAGATTAAATCATTATCGATGTCATCGAAATCACTAAAACAATGAAAAATGTGAAGTCTTACCTTATGTGAAGCTTCAGAAACATCAATTTCGTGTTTCATTCGTCAAAAACAATTTTTCTCAATCAACATGTTTGTAGTTTCATTGGTTAGGGTTTTGTTCAACAATGGAGGATGAGAGGGTTTTAATAGTTGAGAAGATAAATAATACGCTAAAAGTGATTTGGGGTGTATTTATAAATTTTTTTTTAAACCTAATAAGGTCAAAATTGTCATTGCATAGTGGAGTTAATAAGTCATTTAATATTAAATTTTAATATGGGGTGCATTCAACATTTTGTGGGTTGTTAATATAAAAAGCCTTACTTTTTCTATTATTTTGAATGATTAAGTTTAGGGTTTGTATGTTTTTTTTTTAATATTTGTTTTATATGTTTTCTTTGTAAAGATTTAGACATAAAATGTAAAAAGGTGGTCATGTGCCAAGCACATGACACTTTCTAACAGAAAATTGGATAGAGTTAAAGATACTTAACGGTAGGGGGTCAATTGGCCACTTTAACATAGTTTAGGGGGTCAATTGGCTGAAAAAATAGTTCAGGGGGGAAATTAACACTGACGTGATAGTTTAGGGGGTTAAATGACAGTTTACTCTTAATTGAAATTACATATATAAGAGAACTTAAGAGGAGAGAAATGTAGCGGTTTAATTGAATTTGTCGGGACATGGCGGAGTGTTTTTGGTACGTAGTGAGTGACTAGTGTGCTATCAGTTTCAACGCAGAATATTCATATGTATATAAAATAAAGAAATATATTGAAAGAAAGAAAAAGAAAAGAAGAAAAACGATTGTTTGGAAAAGCAGAACCTGCAGGCTACCACGGTGGGTGAGTGGGTAGGTGGGGTGGTGGCTAGTGCATGGCTGTGGGTGTTCCCTGGGGTCAGACAGGAGGAGACCTCCAATGGCCCCCAACCCCATATGGAAGGGAGGGTCCATTTCTGCTTATCAGCCTGGTTAACTTATGCCTAGAGCTGGAAAAAAATCCCAAAAATTCCAAACCAAACCAAAAAATTCCCAAAATCAAACCGAAAAAATCCCAAACCAAAATTCCCGAAAATTTTGGTACCCAATACCGAACCGATCCCAAATTTCGGTACGGGAATCGGTCTCAAGTTTTTGGGATTTCGGTATTCCCAAACCGAACCAAAAAAAATTATATATATATATTGTTTAATTTTTAAATATATATTTAGATTTTTAATACCTGTCGGATTTTGTTGAGATTTAATCTCAACCATTGAATATAAATTTGATTATTTGATACCTTGCCCCTCCTTAATAATTCTTCATCTGGATGGTTCACGTATGCATTGAGATGAAAGATTCATGTGCTATATAGAAATTTAAGCTGACGTATTATTTTTTATACTACAATTGTACTTACTGGTGTACACAGACTTTCTTTTTCCTTCCATCCATTATTAAATCCATTTTTACTTACTGGTGTACACGGACTCAAATTTGTGCACAAATTAGTACAAACATGCCTTGCCATTTGATTGGCAGATTAGTAGAAACAAATTGGCAAATTGAGCTCAAAAGCATAATATGTCAAATTTTAGTCCAAAAGCCCAAAGGCCCAAAACCATTTCGGGATTCCCGATTTGTCCCGAAATCCCGAAACTATTTCGGGATTCCCAAAAATTGGGATTCCCGAAAATTTGGTTTGGGATCGGTATTGAAATTGGGATTCCCGAAAATTTCGGTTTGGGAATTGGGACAAGGGTTTCGGTATGGGATCCCATACCGAACCATCCCTACTTATGCCACTTTGGCACTTTCACCACATGCATCCTCCTCCTAAACAGTGCCACTTTGGCACTTCCTTAATTTGTAATTAAAATGATGATGAGCACGTAGCAAGCTTCTAGCTACCAGGGTCTAATTAATTGTCCATGGTAATTAAGTTAATAGTTAAGTTGATATTCAAGAAGAAATTACAAACTTTCATGTACATGATGATCAAGAGCCTAGAAGGTTGGAGGTCAAGTAAATATATTTGTTTGAGAAATAGAGGAGGAAATTTAGGAATGGAGAACAGCTGCTAATTAGTCCAATATCCACCCACCAACCAACCCCTCCAAAAACAACAACATAAAAGTATATACAGCTTCCATTCCATTTCATGATCATGGCATTCTTTTTGGCCTAAGGAATAGGGGTGGAGGGAAATGAGGGATCTTTTGTTCGAGAAATTTTTTAATGTGCTAGGCATACTAATTGATACACCAAATGTAATGACACAATTGGTTGAAATATATATTTTTTAATTTTTCAACCAATTATATTATTATACTTGGTATGCCAGGCCGTGTTTCCGAAACACTGAAAAATTTGTCCTTTTGTTGGGCTGCGTTTACTTCCTAAATTGGTTAACTTATTTACTGTTTGTGCATAAATTGTTCCTTACAAAATTACAGAGCATGCTTCAAATGGTAGAGAAAGGAACACGCACAAATAAGCAAGCAGTCAGAGCTAATAAAATGCGAAACTATTGAGTGTGGGTTAGTACTTACTACGTAGTGTTGAAAATTCCATGTAAAAATTGTCAAAATAAATTATAATATAAAATAAGGTTCCATTCCTAATTTCGGTAAGGCCTTTTAGGATGAAATCAAACTCATGCCGAGCTAGTAGGTGATGAAGTTGTAGAATAATATCAAAGTTAGATCATTGACACGTCTCATTGAAATTTAACACTTAATAGTAATAATTAACTGTGATAATTAGTTGGGCAAGCACTTACAATAAATTCCATGTAGGAGTAGGACAGAGCCGCGGATGAAAGCAAAGAGGCGCGGTACTGGATCTAATGGAGATTAGATTTTGGTTAATTAATTCAAAACTTTTGTCATACTTGTGACATCAACTAATTTTCTTATCTGTAGTGTTGCTGTTGCTGGTGCCGGGCCATATATGACTATAATTAACAAAAAAAGGGTAATCTTTAATTATAAAAAGAATAACGTGGCAAACGTCGAACAGTTTGGGAGAGGATACGAAAATTGGAGGGCAGAGATTTGATCAAGGAAGGAATAGTTGAGAGGAGTTTAAGAGATTTTTCAATATGACCGGTATACAGAGTGGTACGTCACGTGTTACTAAACAAATGGCGTTATATGTGTGCTAAAAAGTTAATAACTTAAAAAATAAAATTTCTCACAATTACTATTAAAACACACGATATACCACTTGTGTTTCCGTCACAACTAAAAATTTCTGACACAGAGGCCTTCCCTCGGCTTTTGTGCATTTAAGCCCTCCCTCCCCCATGGCTCTTGGCCCTCCTTGTCCTTGCTCATCTTCTTAAATTAATTCGTTGTTTTTCTTTCGTTGTTTCTCTCTAAATAAAAAGCCCATTCTGCATCGCCATTGAAGTCGAAGAGATGCAAAATCCGTCTGCAATTGCAAATGCAAACTGCATCCGTTCTCTGCTTTACTTTCTGTCCATTCTTCTTAGCTCTATATGAATGAATTAGTCCGACTCCATCAGTCCACCTTCATTCCCTCTTCATTTTCTTCTTCTTTTTCTTTGTGTGTGTGTGTGTGTATATATATATGATATGGGAGTGATCCAATATTTTCATGCGATCCTATCCTAGCTAGGCTATAAGGCTGCTCATATACATATTTTCATCAAGTGCCACGCACCAAACTTCTTCTTGTCTCGAGCCTTAAGGTAGAAATTTATTCCAGCAATTTTTTACGCTGTTTTAAGGAACCCTGTCATCTCTCTCTCTCTCTCTCTCAGTTCCTTAGTCTCCGTGCCTAGCCCAAGTAGTCTCCAATATCCCAAGTCTCTACTGTTTCGAAAATGGCCGTTTTATATGCTATTTTGGGTCTCCTTTCGTTGAGCAGACGCAGAGCGTGTGGTTTTTGACACATTCTTTGCTCCTTTCTTCTTACTTTGAATTTGAATTTCTCAAACTTATCCTTCTTCCAGTTAGGAATTATTATAATTAGGATACAAATTAAGATGATGGACCATATGTTTGGAAGAGGAAGACTGGAAACGGCAATCTGGGCGGCAAAGGTTTTGCTGCTTTGTGTAGGGACAGTGTCGACAGTGGTATTCTTCAAAGCAGCAGTCATTCCTTACCTGCTCAACCTCAGTCTTTCCCTCGTCCCCCACATCTGGACCTCCTTCAAAAGCTGCTGCTCTTTATCCCCTCTTTACATCTTCATCATCCTCAACTTTATCATCGTCACCATCGCCGCCTCCTCCACTTTCCAACGCAGAAACCACAAAAACAATGCCAAGACCACTGACAGCATTGACCCCTCTCACGATTTTATTTACAGTCCAGACAGCAGCACCGACAACAAGTACAACAGCAGCCAATCCCAGATGTTGTCCGCCCAGCCGCAGCAGCAGCAGCAGGACAGATTAATCCAAAGTCATCCGGAAGATGATGCAACTTCTCTATTTTCTTCATCATCTCTGGACAAGAATCTGTACTCATCGAATAATGAGATGATGAGTTGGCTTGACATTCACACAGTACAAGAAGGTGTCATGCCAAGTACTAGTCTGAGTACTAGCACTACTACCTTTGATTATGATGGTCATCAGCGATCTGGGCCGTCACCGGAAAAGTGCTGCGGTGACTCGATGCCAACAGAGGAGGAGATGGAGGCGGATGATGACACCAAGACATTGGACACGACATGGAAGGCCATCATGGAGGGGAAAGGCAAGGCAAGTGGTAAGCACCTCAAAAAGAGTGACACTTGGGACACGCCTCCTCGCCTAACCGGCCGGCAATTGGCCATCACAAGTACCAAATTCAAAGTCCCACAACGTCAACTAAATCAATGTAACTTTGATGACGATCACGATGACGAGGACGATGCATTGACATGGGCTCGCCGGGAGCTTAAGAAATCGGATACATTTAGCGACAGAGTGTCGTTGAGAAGGGAAAAGTCGATGACTCAGGAAGAGTTGAACCAGCGAGCAGAGGCCTTCATCAAGAAGTTCAACAACGACATCAGGCTCCAGAGGTTAGAATCTGATCAACGTCGTTTCAGGGAGATTGCTAGCACCGGAATTTAGCTTCTCTCACTATTATCATAGACCTTTTTCTTTCTTTTTGGTGTGTATTTAATTACCTTATTTTTGTTCCATTTACTTTTAAATGCACAAGGAATACCGAGAGATTCTCTTGTCTGTACCTTAAGCTTGTTTATCTCTTATATATGTATTGTTAATTAGTTATCAGTTGGCAGAGGCTCATCACCTACTAAACCAAGCCACTCATTAGCTACCTTAGTTTTATATATATTGTCAATACATTGTTGATTAATAAACTTTGTTTTAATTAGTATTAGTATGTTATATTAGAATTTTGTGGGAGTACAGCTCAGAGCTCTCAGCTGAGAAATTCCTTTTTGCCTTTTGGCTTATACATTAGTAAATCTACATATATTGTGGAATCTTTTTAGGCAAGCTTCCGTTTTCTTTATGATTATAATCTAAAAAATTATAAACACGCATCTTTTTTTAGTCTTTGACACACCCGTGTTTAATTTTTATCTGTTAATTCAATTTAATTTATTCAACCCAATGATAAAAAAATATAGATCCTGCAACTCCCTATATTTATGTATTAATTAGACAATGATCCTTCAACTCCTTGTTTACAATATTGTTCAATTAATTCTATGACTATCCACTCCACCTTATACGTTTGATATTTGATTATATGGAGGCATCTAATTGGTTAATGTAATTATCAACCAAAAGTAGCAGTATGTAAAGGTTAGGCAGGTTTCCGTAGGTAATTAGGAGTGAGGACAGCATTCAGCAGCACAAATATGAGAATAAGCCAAATTTTGATTAAAAAGTAGCGTATGCTCAAATATATCAAAATTGGAGGACATTGTCTCACCTCCCATACTGTACAGTGTGCACGTCTCTACCACATGAGGAAAATGTCTTTGCTTTCTAAAATTGTGGAGACTACAATTAATGGGATAGTATTAGTAGCTGTTTGCAATTGCATTGCCAAGGTAGAGAGTGGGTAAAATACAAGTGAATTGAGGTGTAGGATATAATCCCTTTTTTTCTATATTAGTTGTGTGGTATTTGTGTGGATTTAAGATTAGTGGGCTGGCTAATAGGACCTTTTTCATTTGAACCATTTGATAGGGCAGGCCCAAGAGTGAAAATTTAGGATATCAATTAAGTGAAGAAAGTAGAAGAAGAAGAATGATTAGAGAGCATTAGAGTATCAGAAAGCTCTCCCTCTCAGTAACAACAATCAGTTTAGTAATTGGAAGGAGAATTAACAACAATATTTGACTAACTACAAAATATCTATATCCTTCAAGTTGTATAGCTATACCTATCAGCCTAGGCTTCTCATATTATATCCATCCATAATATTCTATCTATGTATAGCTATTTGCTAGCTAGCAAATCAGACCCAGGCGAATTACTTAAGACCCGAGCAATCTCAAAGCAGTGAAGAGAAGAGACGCAGCAGCAGCAGCAGCAGCAGCAGCGGTGACAATGGCTCTAACCACGACAAGAAACGCAGCACCAGGAACAGTGCTTCTAATGAAGAAGAACCCCAACAATGGTTCCAATGATGAAAAGAAATACGACAGCATGAATGATCACAAGTAACTCGGCAGTAACAACAGTGACATGAAGAAACAGGGCAGCACGAGTGAAGAAAACACACACAGCTATGGAGGTGGCGCTCCACCAAGGAATCGAAGAAGAGGAAAACATGAGCTGCATGATCAGTGCTGCAACTACTGTAACCAATAGCTGGATCCAGGTGCTGCCCCATGTTAAGTGCCCATCAGATGTAGTACTATTGCCTGTAGCATGATCAGGAGGTGAACCTTGTGTAGAATTAATCGAGTAATTGGAAGTAGATGGCGGCAGAGAAGGCAGCACATGATCATTTCCCACTGCTTGACCATCTGGACCATGTCTGCTGCTGTTGTTGGAAATTGAACTAGTAGTATTTGATGAAGGACTAGTGATCAAGGGGCTGCTGGGAGAGGTTGCATTAACATTGGGACTCATCTGCAGAGCAGGCAGGACAAGAACATGGAGCTTGAGGCCTATGGCACAGTGGTCCAGCCTCCCACATATGAAGTACCTGTCTCCGGTTTGCCTCAATGGAATAACCGTCTCCCCATCATTGTGCGTCTCCATTGGGTCTATTGTGTGGCACAAATCGTAGTCCATGTTCCCCACTTCCAGCACATCGTGCACCGGCGTGTACCTGAAAACTGCCTCACACCACCACCACCATATGATCAAATGTTAACTTCAGATTCAAATATATCATCTCTATCCATAATCAATCATTACATTATAAAAGTAACCAGATTAAGTCACAACTTAATTAATTCCAGTATCTATCAAGACACCCAATTAACAAAACAAATTCATGAACAAACACTATCAACCCCCCCCCCCCCCCCAAAAAAAAAAAATCCTATAAGCAATGTGCCCTGTTTGATTCCGTTATTCACCTTCTCAACTGATAGGGTCAGGCTTAAAACAGAGCCTCAAATTAAACGGCAGTTTTGCCTACATATCAAAATTCAGTCCGTTTCGTTATCAAGAAAGTTAAAGAAAAGAAAATGAAAAAAAAAAAACTGATTGTTCATCTTCAGTGAATTTAGGAATATGCTATGTCATACTAGTTGGTCCAAAATTTTACTGATCACCCTTAAGCCCTGCAGCCTTGTTCATGGATTCCAACCAAACGGCTACCAAATACGTAAGACAAGATTGAAGTAATCAAATCAATTAAAAAGGACAAAGAGATAACCAGTGAACTAGATCTAGATGTAGCTAATCAAATAGATAGGATAATCAGATTACACACCAAGAGAGTCGCCCGCACGGAAAGTGGCGCGAGCAGCCCATGCTTGGAGGTTGGAGGAGAGATCCCAACCGGAAGCTCCACCAACAGAGTGGTTGGTGTTGGTTGCAGCAGCTGCAGGGCCAGCAGAGACGCAGCGGAAGAACATAGATGTGAATATCACGACAAGGATCGCCTTCACTGCCCATCCTGGTCTTAATCCCTTCATTTTTGCAGACTGAAAAATCAGCACGCATGCATTTTCTAATTAGTAACTACAGTAATCGATAATTTGATACATCGTCATATCCAAATTCAAGAAAAGATGATGAGATAATTTCTGCCATTTCTCAGGAAAAAGCCCAAACACTTGGGTAAACAGGCACAAGATCATGAAAGAAAGAAACAAGAATTAGAAAGTAAATTAATGATGTAATGGATCGGAGGAGCTCAAGAACGCACACACTCAACGCACTAATGGATATATTCAAGAAAATCGAACAGAAGAAATTAGCAAGAACAAACTGATATCAAACATCAATCAAGTCAAATCGCACAGTAAGTAGCAGCAGGGTAACTTTCAACAAAAATTAGCAAGGACAAACTGAACTTGAACGTATTGGTCAAAATGCAGTACGTAGAAAGTTTCTCAGGAGATTATGCCATTTTCTCTGGAAAATGTGCAGAGAAAATTCATTTCCTCGGGAAAATGTGCAAACACTTGGTAAACACATGATCGTGAAAAGAAAGAAACAATAAATAAGCAGAAACAAACTGAAATCGAACGCCAATGCAAGTCAAAACGCAGTACGTAGCAGAGTAAATCTCAACCAAAATTCTCAGGTGACTCACTGATTCAGTACGTACTTGCAGTTCTTGATTTCTTGCGTTGGTAAAAGAAAATCGAGACGACGACGGTCGATTGAGCAATAGGAAGTTCTTGAATAATGGAGAAAGCGAAAGGAATTAGCGACGGAGTGGTGGAATGGATTGAAGAGCTTAGCTAAGCGCAGTGCGAGTGTATATATACTCTGCTCTCACGCAGCTGTTGAATCGCCATGCTACCTTTTAGTTTCTAGAGAGAAGGTGATTGGAGAGAGAAAGAGAGGGATGGAGAGGTGGCACAGCGGGCAATGGGGTGGTGGTTGTTACACTAGTATTTCTCGTTAGAATTCTGTTATAGAAAGGGAAACTGCCCAGACTGCCCAGATGAGCACACTTGGCGCGTGCGCAACATGCCCAAATCATTATCCAATCTTCGAACTCCACCTTTTAGCACTTCTTATTAGTATTTCTCAAAAATAATTTTGTACGTAGTTTTAATTCGTTAAATCATACGTTTTTTAAAACTTCAATGTATAACATTGTATATTTTGAAAACGTTGGCATTGTTATGAATGCCCACACACACACACATTTTCAATGCCCATACAGATTGAAATTGATTTTGGGGATGCAGGAGATCATATTTTCCAAAATGATGCTATAAATTTTCAATGTATAATTAATGCATCAGTATTGGAGTTGCTCTATAAATAGAGCACTCCGTATGCTTTCAAAAATACAGACAGAAAGAAATAAAGATCAATAACATCATCTATTCCTCCGTCTTTTATTTGTTATCCCCTAGTGCTATAGTTTCGGTGTAATATTTTACAACTGCTTCACTCCTGTCACTAGTAAAGGTTATCTCTCTAACTTTTACATATTTATAATAGTATACATTTTTTTCAAATCAGTGAGCTCCACCCTGATTATGTTTGAGGCTTAACGAAATTCTTGATAGAGTTAACAGGATAGAGCAAACATTAGGCAAGTTCGTGTAAGAAGTGCAAAATGAGGGAGATGCAAATTCAAAATCATGCCAAATCACGCTAAATTTATGCAAAGCCACGAGTAGTTATCATGTTGGACTATACCAAAACAAGCTTATAATATTAATGCATCAACATTTTAATTCGAATAATATCAAGCTACTCTTCACTCGACATATTATTCCCCTTCCGTTTTCTTACAAATCAACGTTCATTGTTTGTTGTTTGAGTTGGGATTAATCTACTCTAATATTAATTTGGATTACTCGAATTTAACTAGAGCTTATTTAGAACTAAATTATTCACTAATTATATTTGTAGTTGCGGCTATATAAAACTCTCGATTCCAGAATAACCTAGGCTTTTCGAACCATTTTTAAATCACCCCAAATTACGGAAAAAATAATAAAATATTTCGTACACCTAAATGGTCGCCGGGCAAGGGGTCCAAATCCACTTGCCACTACCACTACCACTAGAGGCCGTAGAGACACGGAGGCTCAAGCTACTGTTTTATCTCGCATCAGAGAAGAGAGAGAGGAGGCTGAGATGGCGGCGTCGGCGGCGTCAAATTCGAAGGAGGAAGTGAAGATGAAGAAGAAGGAAGGATTGGGATGGATAGAGTGGATGAAGGGTGGTTGTATCTGGCGTACGAGATGCTGTTCCAGAGAATCACGGCCAGCCACTTGCAAAACCCCATGCCTTTGCCTCCCATCAACGATCTCACTTGCATTGTCACTGGATCCACCAGCGGCATCGGCCGCGAAATCGCCAGGTCTCCTCCTTCTCCTTCCTTCAAATCTCCAAACATCGACGATTTCAGTTTTCTTGTTAGCTTGTTTGTTTAGTATAAATAAATCAACTCAGTTTGCAAGATTGCATTGGGACTTAGGGGTCCCACCGTTTGGTTACTGAGAATTTTGATAGCCTGGTGCCCATTTCTCAGTTTCAATTGTGAATTTTGAATTAGTTTTGCTTAAACATGAAAACCGAACAGGCAACTAGCGGAATCAGGCGCGCATGTTAATGGCGGTGAGGAATACGAAAGCAGCTAATGAGCTGATCCAGAAGTGGCAAAATGAATGGTCTGGAATGGGGCTTCCTCTCAATATTGAGGTAACTTATTAACAGGGCCAACGCTAGTATCTACATTTCATTAATTATTTACAAACAATAATATTGTTTAACTTTAATAGGTTATGGAACTTGATCTGCTTTCATTGGATTCTGTTGTGAGATTTGCCGAAGCATGGAACGCTCGTTTAGGACCTCTCCATGTTCTTATCAACAATGCTGGGATATTTTCAATTGGAGGTTGATCCTTTTGTTGACATTTTTACCTGATTTCAAATGTTCATCCCTTCAGAATCTGATCGGTCATTTGCTGGACTACTCTGTCTTTGGTGTGTTCAGAGCCGCAAAAGTTTTCTAAAGATGGTTACGAAGAACACTTGCAAGTGAATCATCTGGCTCCAGCGTTGCTATCCGTCTTGCTATTGCCTTCCCTTATTAGAGGATCTCCGAGTCGAATTGTTAATTTGAATTCCGTTGTAAGTTCCATGGTCATCATGCATTAAATTTTACATTCTTCAGCTATTGCTTTTCTGGGTATATATGATATATATAACATTTGCACACCTACGTACACACACATGGAAAGAAAAACTAGTTGGCATATATGCTAACTAGTTGTAGATACATCCTTAGGTTTTTATATTGGCACTATAAATGTATTTCACAGTTTGATATTCTTGTTTTACTGTTATGTTAATCTGTGAATGCTCGTTCTTTCTTTATATAGATGCATTATGTTGGCTTTGTTGACACAGAAGACATGAACGTTGTTTCCGGGAAAAGAAAATATACAAGCTTAGTGGGTTACTCAAGCAGCAAGTTGGCACAGGTGGTCTTGAAAGTCTTTATTGTTTGATGGTTTCCATATTTTAGCCGGAACAAGCTTGTAAGAGCTACAAGCTTTTCTTCCTATCCATCTTTGTGGAAATGAATTCAGGTCCTCTTGATCTGTAAAGTTTAACTACTTTGTGCGATATATATATATTTGAAATACAGGTGCCTCTGTCTTTATTTAGTTCTTTTTAGTTACTTGGACCTGTACATTGATCAAGTGCTTGATGATTGGGTGCTATAATCTGCTTGTGTTTTTTTTTTTAATTTTGTTTTAATTTTTTTAATTTTTATGGTTTCAACTTCTGCTTTGATCTCTCTTTTCTATTAGTTTGTAAAAGCTGGTCATCTATTACCCAAGGCTGGACACTTGCACATAATTAAATGTCAATTAACTGCGGTGGTATGTATATAATTTTCGAAGCTAAAACAAGACTACTCTAACCTAGTCGTATATGGATTGCAGATTATGTTTAGTAGTGTCCTACATAAGCGGCTGCCTGCTGAATCTGGCATTAGTGTAGTGTGCGTTTCACCTGGAATTGTCCAGACTAATGTTGTAAGTATCTTGACGCATTCCCCTCCCTTCTTTGTTATCTCGAAGAAGGATGTGCCTTCAAGGTTTCTATATGAAAGTTCTATTTGACAGTCTTGCATGTTATTATTTTATGTACCTTGAAGATTTTACGTTCAAATATTATTTACATATACAGTATAGTATATTGAGTTTTATGTATCATTTTGGGTTTCAATTAATTACAGGCAAGGGATCTACCCAGGATTGTTCAGGCTGCGTATCATCTAGTACCTTATTTTATGTTTAGTGCTCAAGAAGGTGTGTCCCTCTTGCTATTACATTTCATTTACCATTTTATACCTTCTTACTTATAAGATACTGAAAGCTCAGAAGCAAGGTTTGTAACTTTAATCTTTGATGAGTAGTTAATATCATCTCGTATTTTGCTGCATTTAGTAAAGTTAAGAGTGGGCCATGATTAAAGTTGCCCGAGCCTGTGAGTTGGCCAAATAAAGATTAAAAAAGATAAGACGGAACAGAATAGAAAAGTCGGTTCTTCTCATTATCTTCTTGTCTTGGTCCTGTTCCTTTTTCACTTTGTTAAACCCAAAGAACTTGCTTAAACCCAACTGCGATTTTTTAAACGAAAGAACAACAATAGTGCTAGAAGAGCTTTTGGCGAATAGGAATGTCCAAGAAACTGAAACACGTTAATATGTGCTACAAAGACGTGGCTTGTGCTTATATGTGCAAGATGCGCATATGTACCTAAATTTGAAAACGTAAAATATATAGAAAGTGAAACAAGGTATGGGATCATCCTAGATTTGTGTAGTGTAGATGAAAACCTCATCTTTATGATTGATAACTTCCTAATCACTTATTTATGAATTATTAAGCTATCAGGTACTGTTGACTCTTTGCTCCTGGGTGATCTACTTAACAGATCCTATTTTACTGCCTAAGCAATCAATAAAGCTTTTGATGCTCAATTGAAAACAGAAGCAAAAGAGGGGGAGGGAGGGATTGTGAAAATCATATTGGACTGATTTATTGTATGCAGGTTCTAGGAGTGCTCTGTTTGCAGCCACTGATCCACAGGTTCCGGAGTACTGTGAATTGTTGAAAACGGATGACTTTCCTGTTTGTGCCTTTATTTCTCAAGATTGCCGTCCAACGAATCCTTCAGAAGAATCGCATAATGTTGACACTTGTCACGAAGTGTGGGAGAAGACATTTGAGATGATTGGCCTTCCTTCTGATGCAGTGGAGAGGCTTATAGAAGGGGAAGAAGTTGCATGCAGATACGGGGCTCATGGGGAGTAGCCTTATTGCATGATATGCTAAAAGTGCGCATCAAATGCGCAGCCTAGATAACGTGCGGAAGGGTTGAATGCAGAAGAAAGACCGGAGTGGCACGATCATCTGGAAGAAATTTGAAGAGATGGTGTTGTGTTGTACACCAATTTAGTTGTTTAGATTTGTTTTTAACTTTTGTCGGGTGCGCGGGAACAGAAACGATTATGAAGGTCTGATGCTGGTATTTGGTTCACCCCCGCTCTTCCCAGTTCCCACTGCTGGAATTGTTTTCTTGGTGTAAACTAATGCTTTCAATTGCATAGACATTATATGTAGAGAATTATTTAGAGACACAATTTCAGTGTTAAAAGATGAGTAATGGCTTAAGAATGCAAGCAAACAATATCCACGAATTTAGATTTAAATGAGATGGGATGGAAGTTATAGGAGGTGGGACAATGCAAGCAAACAATAAAACGCTACGTTTTAATGGGTACAAGGGGTCACTGTAAACGTAATGTTTTTAACCATTGCTACAACGCCATGTGAAAAATATTATAAATGATTTTGTATTAGTGCTTTGGAACGCTGTATCTCTCCAAAGACCTGGATTCTCACTCGGATGTGAAAATAAAAATTTGAAAAGATTTGGATGTGAGAGTACACATGGCATACATATATATACTCTCAACAGCGCCGACCCTCTTTCGCTTCTCTCTCTCTCTCCCTCCTTATTAATCAAGAATGAAGGGTATGTAACAAGTATTATTAGGAGCTTTGCGTAGGCTTTTGCTTTGCTCTCACATACGTTACTCTTCTCCTTAATTTACAAAGTATTTATTTATTTCAGAGCAGGGATAATATATAATCATGGTTTAATTACAGCTATACCCCTGGAACTAGCGCTAGCTATTTCATCTGCTCCTCCGTCGTCTTGAGTCTCTTGGGTATTCAGTATTCTCCTCTCTCTGGTCCTGCCTCTGCCTCTGCCTCTGCCTCTGCCTCTGCCTCTGCCTCTGCCTCTGCCTCTGCCTGCAGGTAACTCTCTCTCTCTCTCTCTCTCTCTCTGTGATCTCATTTGTTCATTACTTAATATTGTTCAGCAATTCAAATACTGCACATAATGATATCTTTCAAGCACCGCACCCGCACGTATGAATTATGAACTTGGCGTTAATGATTTGAAATTTTGAATGCCATACAGAGTCTCAGTCTCCATACTATAATCTCTCAACAGTTGTCTTTTTTTCTTAAATCGACTCTTTTAAAAAATTAATTTCTTTTCTTTTCTTTACATATGTAATTGTATATTGTGATTCGTGGGCAGATGAGACAAACATTTGGAATTTGGAATGGAAAGGGAGATTGAGATTCAAACAAACAAACAAACAATGAAGAAACAATTATACTTCTGTCTCTGATCGTTTAGTAAATCCAGTATTCATTCAGTTATTCCGTCTGAGTTTTTTAAGAAAGAATCAAAGGATAGAAATTAGGACGTCTTTCTCCTAAATAAAATCACACTAATTAATTTCCTCCCTGGAAATTATGCATGGGGAATTGAGTCATGATCAATGTTCCAAAGCCAAACCCACACACATATGTGCAATGAACAGTGTTGATACTCGTTGTTTTTTAAACCGAAAAGAAAGAACACTATTATTTTTCGACTTCATTGCTCTTCCTCCTCCTCCTCTAGATCTGCGCTTTAATGTCTTGTACTGCAAAGGAAAGAAATAGGTTTGTGTGGCGCTGCTGCTTCTGCTATCATCTGCGCCTTAATGTCTTGTACACCAAGGTGTACGTCTGGTCTCCTTCTTAAATGCGTTTCAGAAACGAAACCCTACTCCTGCTCTCTGTTTCCACAAAGTTTATACTGTTCATGAACAGAAAACTAATGTTTATATTTTGCTTTTCTTTTATTAATTTAATTTATTCACTTTTATGAAGGTGTTGTAGGAGGCTTGAGAGTCTCGAGACATGTCGATGGGACCGACAGCGGTGGAGAAACAAATAACAATGTCATCAGCTTCATCATATCCTCCTCCTCCTTCAGTTGAGTTGTCGGCTCCTCCAAGTCCAAGAAGTAGTTTAAGCAGCAGCAACAAGTCCACCATGAATCGGAAACCCCCATGGCTCTTGCCCGTCCTTGACGGTAGGAACATTTTCATTTGAATCATTTTTCTTCTCCCTTCAACTTTTACTCATGGATCCGGAGAACAACTTGCATAAAAGGACCATCATTTGACGTTTAGTTGAATAATACACTGATGCATTCAAGTCATTCTCTTTATATCTTTTTAACTTTGTTTTGGTGCACGCATGATTGAATTGAACAACGTACTTGTGATATTGACCAATCTACTTTAGTTTGATTATGGATGAAAAGTTGAATGGAAAAGCTTAGGAGGGTTTTCGTGCAAGCACATGTGATGATGGGATGTGACTAGGTAAACGTACGTAGGCTAGAGTTTACCATCTTTGTCTGTCCATTCATCCATCAGTCCATCAGTCCATCTGTCCATCTGTCCATCTGTCCATCTTCCTTTGTGTTTGAATTTCAAAACTCCATTTGATGAGTGGTGAGTAGTCTAGTCGGAAGATCAAAAGGACATTGGCTTGTAGCAGTATATAATTGATTTTGTTTGATATTTATTCGAGGCAGGAAGGAAGGCACCGACCTCTCTCTTTCATCTTTCCTTGCACATTACTCGAGGATTAGGTACAGGATTCAAGGAAAGAGAGAAAACCTGCTTGAATTGATGCAACATTTTTCAATATTCTTTCTTTTTTTTAACAATAATTCTGCATGAAATGATGCAACATTTTATTTTATTTTAAGCTCATAGAGTGTGCAATTTAATTATAAATCCCCCATGGTAACTTTCTTTTTATGCAAGTGTAGTAGACCAAAAACCAGTGACTCAATTACGTTCGAGTATGAACTAGTGTGTGCTACACATCTACACATTCGAGTATGAACCATTGCTGATTCGCTATAAGTTTTAGTTTGTATCAAATTTGAAAACAATGGGGGAGGGTATTTATTTTTTATTTTCTAAACAAGCGATAGTATATGCATTAAACGGATAAGAGAGTGATTAAGCCTTACAATAGGATTGACATAATAATATGGTTCAACTTCGTTTTTTGTGAAAATCAAACTTAAGTTAAAACCTTTCACTTAAAGATAAAGAGGAATATCACTAAATCGTAATACTAAGTAGATATAAGGGAGGGAATCTATGTATCTCGATGGATGGAGGGTGACATATTTGTCCTCTTGACTTGTCTCCAGGGGAAATTGGTCATTTCACAATTTGGTGGTCCTGCTCAATTCAAAATCTCTTTTCGAATTAGATGCTCTGCTCACTCTCTAGTCTCCATCATAATTTCCCAATTTAAACTCCAATTTGATTTTTTTACTTGCATGTTTAATTTGTTTGTTACTTTTGATCTCTGCACTCCACATTTAAGCTCAGCAGCTCGACCCAAAAAGGAAAAAGCCCAGCAGCGTATAATGTGCATGTTATTGATGACAAATATGAGCGGAAGGGAATGCTGCATTCTAGTTCAAATAAATTAACAGATGCCTTGGTTGTTGTTATATATGTCAGATATGGAAGAGAGGATGAAGATGGTGGCATCTAACACAGCTCAACAAGACACTGGAGACACCTTCGCTGAACGAGCCGAGGCTTACTACAAACGACGCCCTCAGCTTCTCTCTCTGCTTCAAGACTTGTACAATGCCTACCTCACTTTATCCGATCGTTACATTCAAACAATCGCCAAAACCAATCATCGACGCAGACACTCCTCCCAAACCTCAATCACTGATAATGGCTACTATGACGACTATCATGACCAACAAGACGCAGATGGTGATACATTAAGCCAGATGGATTCGGACGTGGACAGTTCCCTCTCCTATCAGCAATTACCTCTGGCTGCTGCTGCTCAGGATGATGGCATGGTTTTGGATTTGGACGCGATTGTTACGGAGATTGTGATGAAGAATGTCGAATGTGATATCTTACTTGATGAGGCCGACACCACAGAGAGGCGATACAACGAGTCATCCAGGAAGATAGAGTTGCAGAAGAGCTTGCTTGAGGTGCTGGAGTCCGAAAGGCTCATACTACTGCATGAGAATGCCAAGTTGGGGTACAAATTGGGTGCACTGATGGAAGAGAACAAAGCCCTCGCATCCGAGTCTATGTTCATTAAGAGGAAGGCTGGAGAGCTGGCTAGATGTCTGCTCAAGGTGAGGGAGGATCAGAGGGTGTGCATGCTTAGCCGTAAAATCGAGGACCTGCAGGGCCAGATTTATGGGTTGGAGAGGAGGAACAAGGAGTACTATGAGCAACTCATGAAGAGAGACCAATGGTCCTCCCAACTTGAACAAGAAGAGAGTAGGAGCATCAACAACAAGAGCAAGTTTAATGGGAATGAGGTGAACATGGATATTTGCTTCCAAATAGGGAAGATTCAATCGGCAAGAGAGGCTGATAGAGTGAAGGTTTTTGGAGCTAGTGAAGATTTGGAGCTGTGAACGGGAAGAAGGGTTTGAGTTGGTGGGGAAAGGTCAAGAACATGGATTTGTTTCTGTGCGGAGGCTCTACTTAACCTTAATGGTCTCTGTTTAGTAAACTTAAGTTAATGGTGGTCTGTTTACATTTCTTCTATTGAACTCAACGCTGTCATGAACCTGCTGACTCCATGGTGATTCTGCCTTATATTAGTTTCATGGTTAAGGAGAATTTGATGCTGAAACCAGGTGAGGTGTGCCACTATAGTTGAAGTTGCCAACTTTTAATCTATGACTAAACTATTGAATGCTTCAAATGAATTTCCAGTGTTTGTGTCGTCATTTGGAAACTGTACAGTTCATTAAGCAAAACCGATTTCCTCACACAGATGAAAAAGGACAGTTCTCAAACAGAATTCTGTCTCTAAATTTAGTCAAAATCTTGTCTAAACAATCGGATATGAGGAGACTATAACGAGTAGATTGGAAGATTACTAAAATGAACACTACACTCTGTTCCTGATCCTTGGTATAACAAATGTCTTACGTAGATTACGCCTATTAAATAGGTACATCAGAAAGTTGTGAGATCCCTACTCGTCCGAGGATATAGTGCTAGTTAGGCTCATGAAAAAAAACTTACAGATTTCACGAATATGTATATATACAATACCCTGAGGCTGTTGCAATTGATTTAAAGAGAGAAAAAAAAAAGAGAAAAGTGCTTGTCCTATAACTTACCATTTCTCCAGTATACGTAATCATCTTCTTTCTTTTTACCGCCATTCTTAATACATCAGGGTCAAAATTCTAGAACCTGGAATTGGGGAAAAAGAAATCATGTTTGAGATGTTCTGCTAAGTATAGTACAGTCAAGTGAAATAATGTTCTGAAAACCATCAAAGGAGACCCACCTGGACGCAAGCAGAACAAACATTATGACTTATCATCAAAGTTGAGTAATTGATCGATTTACATATATGACTCCAGGAACATTGCAGCTCTTAAGGCAGATTTACGGCAGTGAGTTTCTCAAGGTTTGCAATCCTAGCCTGCATCAGTGGCACAGGTGATGAGAAAAGAATGATATCAATAAATGGGAAAAGAATTCAACAACCATCATTTGTAAACAAAAATCCAATTGCATTAGCTCTGGATCAAGTTCAACTCAGACTACAAAAGACAAACTCGAGGTTCAGATTGCAGTGTTCAACCCAAAACCAAATTGTACATTTAACCGACCTAGCAATGGAAGGCAGAAATCAAATCTAAGAGCAGTGAAATTTCACGTACATATATATGTTCCGTGCCATTTTCCAAGCCATCTTCAGGTTAAAGTAATAAATTTTTGTGTGTATTTACATCTTACATTACATTCAGGACAGGAGTAGACAAAGTCTCCAGAACGCATCAAATCTTGCACATTGGACGGATTACATGGATAATCATATGTAAGGATATAGTCACAAAGTCAGTCATAAAAATTGACTACCTTGAAAGATTTGGAACGTCGAAGAGAAGGATCCATCTGTAAAGCTGTCGAATATGATCTCTGCGCGGAATTAAATTTGTTCATGGCCAAGAATGCATCACCTTGGCAAATATAAGCCTGAACAAAGGACAAACTATGATCAACTTTATGAAATTAAAATGTATTGTAACCACTGCCTACCCAGAGAGGCAGAGGCAGCAGGGAGAAATGCTGGATGCTAATAACATATATATATATATATATATATATATATATATATATATATAGACACACACACGCGCACACGTGGTAATTAATTAAGCAATGGAATAATTTATTAGTTAACGAATCAAATAATGAGACCAAGCATGCACCTCAGGATAGAGAGGATGCAAAGCCAAAGCTTGAGCGGCATCTTCAAGAGCCCCGGAACAATTGCCGGATGCTAATCTTGCAAGGGACCTCTCTTTATACATAATATGAACACCCCCAATTGGTCCTAATTCTATAGCCTGCAAGCAGCAATATGCTAATTGTGTTTAATTAAATTAAGTCACTTGTTAATATTTTCTTTTAAATATATAACTGAGAATAGTGAGAGCTAGCCAGAGAGTACCTGTGAGAGGAAGAGCTCAGCCTGAGAGAAATTGTTCTTGTCAACTACTTCACTTCGCGCCTTGTTTCTCAACGCCAGCGCTTCCAAACTCTTGTTAACAATAGCGTCCCAATTCGAACCACCACCACCATCACCTTCTCTTCCCCGTGGCAGAACTAGTGCCACGAGGACCTCGGCCGCTCGAGCGGTGGTGCCGCAGTGAGCGACCAAAGTGGCGGCGGGAAGGGCCACGAGGTTGGGGCCTGCCCCACAGCGGCCCAAGCAGCCGGAGGATTTGACGGAGACGTTAGGAGGGGCGAGATCGGTGAGGGTCTCAAGGATTTGCATCGAACCTTGTCTGCGGCAAGTGCGGTTGGTGCACACCCTAATTTCCTGGACGTCCTCTGCCGACTGACAATCTTTGACCACGATGCGGCGTCGCACACGCCTGGAATAAGATCTAGAGGCGGCGGAGGCAGTAGCTCCAGGTAGAGGCAACACCACATCCATTTCTCTACCTCGAGAGTGTCGAGATAGATGACAGTTAATTTCCTACTTTAATCCGCTTAACAAATACTTCTGTTATTCCAACAGCTCGACTTACAAATTACAATATTTTCTTTAATGCGCTTAAAAATGTATTTTTTTACAAATCTTTATATACTAAAACCCAATCAGGGTGGTACTGTGGATGACCAGTGGTGGGACGATTTTGCCCCTCCAAATTTTTTCCTCTTTGCGCTTTGTTTCAGCTTTTCTACACTGAAATGACGCTTATACCCTTGCTTTCCAGGTGTTAGCCATCGCTGCATCCTCTTCATGCTTCTATTGCTTTTCATTGTTTTGTCTCGAACTGCTCTTTCATTGTTTTCGGTTTTGCTGTCCGTGGCTCTGTCTCGCTATCTTCTTTCTCGGTCTCACTCGCTCTCAGACTGGATGGTTTTTCGGTGAGTTATTCGAATCTTGCATCTGGGAGCTTTTTTAACCAAATCTATCGATTTTGTTTTGTTCAATTTGAAGTGTTAAAAATTGAATAGTTTTTGGGTAAAATTTTTAATTAGATTGTGTTATGGGTTGTGATCAACCATTGACTTGGTTTGGGAGTTTTGATTTAATGCGAGAGGTGGGGAGTTTTCTTGGGTGAAATTTTAATTAGATTATGTTTTGAGTTTGAGAATTTTCTAGCTTGCTTATCCAAGCATGCAATTTTGGTAATAGACTTGGAAGGAAATCGGTTTCGAGGTTTGCCAGATTTGTGGAGTTGTGATTGGGGGTTGAAGATTTTGGTGTTTTTGCGTTTGTTTTCATCTGCGATTGACGAATTTTGGCCGGATCTGTTCCCTGTTTTTTTCTCTGTTTGAACGACGGCTGCCTTTCGGTTGTTAAGCGACGACTGTCTTTAGATCGTTGGAGAATAAATTTATTACAACTGAGGTATATTTCATAACTGTTGTGTTTCACTTTTGGTTCTGTTTTTTTGTTAATTTGGATGAAGTTCTAATAATTTTGTTTTGGATCAGTTGTTGTCCTCTGTTAGGAGGTTTGTGTTTAAGACTTGAGAGTAGTGGGGTCTCTTTCTTGCAGGTCCTGCTGACACCAACTCATCTAGCCATTGTGATGGAGTAACTGGGGGAGAACTCTTCGAGAGAATAATCAGTGCTGGCAGATTTAGTGAGGATGAGGTAAAGTAGTTTCAAAGGCAGAGAAAATTTTATCGAAAATGTTTTTAGTGTACAGTCGGAAATATGGGATGACTGAATGTCCCTTGAAATGGAATCCATCTCGATTTTTGTTTAGTTTTAGATAGGGAAAGTTAGGTCTGAAGCATTTTTACGTAAACAGTGTCATAATATAACTAAAACTTACATAATTTTTCGATTTAATTGTTGTTTTGCATCAGGCAAGGAGGAAATAATTTGTTTCAACAGTATACAACTTAGTTTCAATAGTATACGGCTCAGTTTTTGAATAACACTCAGGTAGTTTTCGAATAACAATATTACTAATTAGTTTTCTAAATGCCAATTACAGCTCTAAATTTTGTCTTAAGTGGAGTATTCTTAATAATGTGTCATTTTGTTGGCAAATCAGTATGTTTTGATTGTATCTCTGCTTAGACAGAGAATTGTTAACGTATGGGTGAGAACGTGGGCTTGCTCATGTTTTAGTCTCTCTGTCGTATGCAATTTTACTTGGCATTCTTCAATGTAGCTATAGTTAAGGCAACACTCTCAGTATTTCATAATCAAACCACCATTTGAACTTTTTTCATCCACGAAGTTAGGCTTTTATGTGTCATCTTGAATAGTTATACGTTATTGCTTCAGATTACTCCAGTGCGACATTGTTGTTCTCTTACTTACCTCTCAAGCTTGCTTAATATACCTAATCTTATTATTGTTGTATTGTTAAGGAATACTCAACCGCGGTTCCAGTTCATCGTTATGAATCGGCGCAATACGGGTACAAATTCTTTACACCCACGGTACGAATTCTTGACACCCAATGTTAGTTCCTATATTATCTCATTTGGTTGATTTAATGACGGAATTGGTGGACACCTACAAAATTAGTTGAAGTTCACTGGAAGCATATCCTATATGTCTGATTGTCTGGGATATTGTAACTGTTTTTTGGTGCATATTGGGGAATAGATTGCTTTTAATTAGAGCTTTTCTGATGGTTGCTACCAATACTCGCCTATATTGGGCAATTATTATTTTTTGTTTATCAGTTGTAGTGGCATACTAAGTCATGACTGCTATAACCTCTAACCTTCACCTTTTTATTTATTTTTTATTATTTTATTATTTTTTAGCTTATTTAGGTGAAGTTTGCAATCCAATACATGAGAAGAGTTATCTAGAAAAAGGCAAAATATGACATATTAACGTGAACACCATTAAGGTATCTTATCTATGAATATTTTTTCTATCTGTTCTGAATCTATGACTAAACAAGTTGACATCCCGTATATATGATAGGTTGAATCTGTTTGTTCATCTATATATATAACACGCCCTTACTCTTTTAAACCACTATTAGAATTTAATTATGATTAGAATTAATTGATGTCTGGGGTGTTTCAATTGATCATCTAGGAAGAAATATATGGTTCTTTAGTAGCACCAAAGGCTTGAGAGTAGGAGTTCTTAGTCATGCAAATGGTTTGCTTGCTAAATCTATTTCAAGGCTGGAAGAAGAGTTAAAACATATGTTATTGTCTTATATGTTTGTATTTGAATGGTAATGATGTTGTTCTTCTGGTGCAAAAATCTTCCTTTGAATGCATTTTAGCTTAGGCTCTACTTTTCTTTCATTTCAACTTCATTTTCATGTTCATCATTTACTGTTTGTATGTGTTTTGTGTTGGCATTGGAGGGTGGTGGTCTGTCATTTTGTTCTTCTTTTGTCTAATTGTAAGACCTTCTAACAATTGAATTTATTTTATGTGGAAACAATCATTTTGATCCCGTAGTTTGAGTTGTTTCAGTTACGTATCAATACTTAACATTATTTTTATCATTTACAGATGTGTGCTTTTCAAGCTTTGTTATATTCAAATTTTAATGCACTTGATACTTACTTCAGAATCATTGGCATTGATCAAATAAGGTGACCAAATTCTTATCATTGATCATTCAATACCTTCTCTCTTTGCTAAGTTTTTTCACCCCTCTTAAAGCTTATTAACTTTGATATGCTTCAAGTTATTCCTTGGTATAGAATCCACCTCAACTGCTTTCAAAATAATCAGATATTCCTTTGAATTATTGAAATTTCAAAAGAAATTGATTTAATTTTTAATTTTTATATTTTTTTTATATTTAGGCAGGCGAGAGAAAAGAAATTGACAAAGCAGAAAGCTTTAGTGAAAGCTAGAAAGCTTCAGTGAAAGCTAGAAAGCTTCAGTGAAAGCTAGAAAGCTTCAGGTAATAATTTATCAAGTTATTCCTTGGTATGGAACCCACCTTAACTGCTTTCAAAATAATCAGATGCTCTTTTACATAATTATATGAATTTTTGAATTTTCGAAAGAAATTGATTTAATTTTTTTTTTTGTATTTAGGCTAGCAACAGAAAAGGAATTGACAAAGCAGAAAGCTTTAGAGAAAGCTAGAAAGCTTCAGATAATAATCATGAATATATTTTGGGTTATTCTTCTTTTCATAAGCTCGAAGTGCAAATGGTACTTGAAATGCAATGCTTATTTTGTGGTTCACAATTTTCCTGAAAGGTATTAAGATAGCTTCTTTTGTCAAATTTTCCTTCCTTTTTGGTTATGGTGGGAATAATACCGGTTCATCTTTCAGAGGAAAAAACACACCAGTGCACACTCGGAAATAGCTGGAGTTAGGCAAACCTCACATTGTATATACATGCTTTACAATTTGTGGAAAACCACATGACTTCTGAAAATGATAGTAGCAAATATGATGTATTGGGACATATTTTATTAACATGCTTCTGGCGGTATTGGAGTTATACCAGGATGGGTAGATTGGGTTGACAGTTGTGCACATTACATTTGTGTTATGATTCTTATAAATAACATCTTATTTCGTGGATGAATTTATTTCTACTCTTCGTTTAGGCATTGAAGATGATGCAACTCTAAACTTTAACGTCTTGATAGATTGGAAGTAGATATCTGTTTTTTATTCTCCACACTTTTGTCTAACTTCTTTTCGAGTGATAGTTTAGTTATTTTCTTACTACTTTCTTGCAGGTTACATACATATGGTTTATACAAAGAGTTTCTGGTGATGGGAATTATCAGATATCTGCAATAATGAGAATGCAAAGTAATAGGTTTGTCATTTTTTGATTTATATTAATTTCTTATTGTTTCGCAGATTAATAATTATGAGAGTGATTATATTTATTGTGTTACTGTGTAGTGTTGCAAGGTATAAATTCTATTATGAATTCTTCAGCTGATTTGGGGCAGGTGATATGAACTTTTATCTAAAGTTTATTTGTTTTGTTTCTTCACGATGCTTAATGTCATCCGGAAACAAATAGTATTTATCATCACCAAGTGGTACAAAAAGTATTTTAAATTGTTCTTTAACCAATCTATCGCCAAGTTTTCCAATGGGTTTCTTATTTTATTATCCATTTTTTCTTTTGCAATAACCCAAAGTCTTTCCATGCTCGAGAGTTAATGTGTGCTCAAAGAGATAATTTGTTTTGTTTGATCATTCTGTTATAATATTCTAAGTAGTTGCAAGTTTTTAAGTTTTAAAAAAGGAGGATAGGTCTTTTTTGTTCGCTGAGAGAAAAAGGGAAATGTAGGGAGACAGGTCTGTTATATGAACAAATTAGCATGGTTCATCCTAATGCTATATAAGTTAGGTTACTGATTTGTTCATCCTAATGGTATATAAGTTAGGTTACTGATTTGTTTCCTCATTTCTTCATTGGTGATTCATATTTTCAGTGATTTTAAGAATGGGTAATAAGTTTTTGTCAAGAGTTAATGTGTTTAGTTTCATTTTTTCTAATTTCTGTTCTATATGGTTTTGTGTCATGTGATTGGAGTTTCATGTGATTCGAGGTTCTAAAAGAGAAACATAACTTTTTATTTATTTGGTCAGAGGAGGGGGGAGGAAGTTCTGTTCAAATTTGGTTTTTCCAATGGCTTTGGAAGAAATTATATCGCTATTGTTATTACAGGTGTCCAGTTTGCAGAAATGACAAGGTATGCTACAATCTATTCTTTGGTAGATTTGATTCAAATTGGTAGATTTCGGTAAGAAATAAACTTTTATCTTTTCTTTTAGTTAAAGACAGTTAGGACATCAATTTGTAAAAGATATGAATATTAACAATGGTGATAGAACCGTCAATCCATATAGTTGTAAATAGATTTGAACATATATGTAAATATTACATATTATTGCATATCGTGTGTATTTATAACTTTCTACATGTTTTATACAGTTTTGAACCCGCAGCATCGCGCGGGCACCGTTGCTAGTTATGAGCTATAAGTCGTAAATTTTTAATTTAAAGGACCAATCAGAGGCCTACTTTTGTATCATTTTCGTCGTGCGACAAGCATTTTAATAAATTGTGTTGGGCGATCAGTGATTTTCTAGAACTTGGATAACACTTTTGCTCATCGACAGTATTTAATTATTTTATTTTCGGTCCACCACACATTAAAAATCTATAATAAAAAAAATACTTCTATATATTACTCATTAAATGCTCCAACACTTCCAAATGGGCTTATAGCTTCTATAATATTTAAAATTTGTAATTTTTACGAAAATTATGAGCTATAAGTCACTATTTCTTATTAAGATTTTCTAATTCAAAACAACAATTGTAAGCCTACTTACGTGTCATTCCATTGATAGGTAAGTTTCTTAATAATTCAGGTAGAGCATTTAATGATTTTCTGGAACCCGCTAAACAATATGATGGATTTTGTGACCTCATCATAAATGGAGAGAAAATTGGCAAACAATTACGGTGACTGTATCCACACACATAAACATGAAATTTGAGGGGTTCATTGTAATTAGGCTACCTCCATTTTGATCAAGTATTTGTATTTGTTGATACCTGATACTTTGTTCTTCATTTTATGGTGAAATCACGAAGACCACACAAACCCACCAAAATTGCTTTGTCCTCTTTGTATGGTTGCACTGACCAACACAGCATAACACACAAAACATTAAAACCCAGCCACATCTACATGACAAGTAATTGCTTTTTTCGATTGTTCAAACTAAAAGTACGAGCTCGACCGAAAAAAAAAAAAAAAAAACCTTCCAAGTAAGAGATTTCGGGATAAGTAACATACATCACTGTTGTATTAATATTATACTGTTACATCATTACATAAGCAAAATCAAACCATGATCTTCTTATTTACTTAATATTATATTTCATATAATTTGTGTAGTCGTTTTGATTAATGGTTGTTGTACCAAAACTGTTTCTGAAGATAATCAACCTCCTTCTCGTCCACCTGGAATGCCTTGGCCAAAACATCAGGGTTGATGGGAGGGTTGGATCCGAAGACTGCATTCGCAATGGTGATCACCCCCGGGTTCTGGCTGCTGAGACCCGCGATGGCCAAAGCGTTGGTTTTTCCGACATTGAGTTGGAAGTGAATGAGACCGACTGGGAACACAAACACATCTCCCTTGTACAACACTTTGGTGAACAGCCGATTGCCGTCGCCATTGGATGTGACGAATCCGACGTAGAGTGAGCCTTCCAAGACGATGAGTATCTCCGTGGCACGAGGGTGAGTGTGAGGAGGATTGAGGCCATTTGGTGCAAAGTCTACGCGAGCAAAGGATATGCCGAGAGTGTTGAGTCCGGGTATATCGTCTACGTTTGCCGCCGTAACAATTGAACCAATCGGATTCGATGTGTTTCCGGGGTTCCGGAGCTTGTCAGAGAAGAAATCGTTTGCTGACGCAAGTTTTGGGTTCTTGCAGAACTTCCCGTTCACAAACACTGTTCGCAATTAAACAGACAAACAAATTAATCTTTTTTTATGTACTTACGTGTTGTACATGCATGGATGATGATGAGCCATCAGCCATGTAACATCATCCTTGCACAATCATATAGGGTTTAGGCCTTGCTATTTCCTACGTACTCTATATATTTACTGAAAGGAATTTTACTAGACAAAAAAATAAAACATATGATTAATTATACAACAGAAGAGTAATCTTAATTAATGATATTGTATTTACGTAATTAAAACGTATAATTATACGTACCAGCAGGATCGGTGTTATTAATTGCTACACAAAAGTCCTGAAGAGGACTTGGATCAGAGGCAGAGGCAAGGAGGGTGGCGAATGCTAATAGGGCAATAGCAGTTACAGGGAAATGAACTCCTTTCATCGCTAGCTAAAGTTTATAGGGGAATATCCTATAGATTAGCAAGGACTTGGAACTTGTACTTTGATAAATACCGTGTAACTAAAGTAGTATTAGATGATCAGTTGCTTTGAGATGGATGAAAATTATGTATGGGGACACTTCTGTATTTATAGATTAGCAAGAGACACTGATGATGAACTGGTCTTGGATTTTCCCTCTCGATAATCGAAGCAGGTAAAGACTTGGATTTATTTTTAGAAGCAGGTAAAGACTTGGTTGTAACTACTAATTAATTGAACTGGTCTTGGATTAAAATTCAATATTAATATGTACCAATTCTTTTGGCAATAAGCCACTAACCGTATTGCAATTTTGTATGTGGTCGATTACCCTAATAGTTAGTGATACATTACATTCGGGTTCAAATCTTCCGTTCTCTCAGTGTTGTTTAATTTTATTTTAAAAAAAATTTAAAAAACTGTATTGCATTTTTTGTTCATTGGGAATTTTATTGAAAATGTTGTTAAAAATACATGCATATATAGCCTATAGGTGTTAATTAAATCGATCTCAATTAAGATAGCCAGAAGTTAAAATTACAATATGAATAAAAAGGACGACCAACCATGCGTTAAAATAGAATTTTCAAAAGCTTAATTTGACTTAGTCCCACTTTTTGTTGTTTCAATGAATAAATAAAGGGATACTTTGGATGCAGTTCATAATCCTTAACATTCTTTGACTAAAACCTTAATGGTATTCAAAGTTTGATCAAAGTTTCTTGACTTTGTACACCTCATTATATTACAATTAATATTTATATTTTTATAGTTTTGACATTAATTGTTTGATATTTTATGAGATTTATAATCCTATGAATTTAAAATTCCTCATTATAATACTATTAGAAATGGTTACAATAAAAAAATTCAAACATTTTGATTGAATAAATGGATAAAAACTATGTAAAAATAAGAAATAATAAATGGCAAAAGAATATATCCATAGTGTTAAAAAAAAGGGTACATTTTACAAAAAAATTGGTACATTTCACATATAACAAAGTGGTACATTAATAAAGAAAAATGGGTACATTATAAATAAATTAGGGTACAGATATAAGATTAAAAAATTATGAGTACAAATGAATTTAAAAAAAAAAATATAGGCTCTAAAAGAAATTAATACATGGGTCCAAAATAAAACTAAAAAGAAAATACTACAAATTTAAAAAAATGTTGCATATTAAAAGTGGGTACAAACTAAAAATATAAATATATGATACAAAGTTTATGCATAAAATATAAATATACCACATGTAATTTTTCTATCATTGATTAAATATACAATGTCACGTGATGGTGTACACATGGGTACAAACACAAATAAAACTTTAAAAAATATGGGCACAAAAAGAAACTAATATATGGGTACAAATTAAAAATGAAAAGAAAATTGGTACAAATTAAAAATAGGTACAAACTAAAAATTAAAATATATGATAAAAATTTTAGCTATAAATATAAATATACTAATTTTAACATTTTTAACACTAAAGGAATATATTTAAAAATAAAAATATTTTATTATTCAAATAATTAATGATGTTATTAATACCCAAGGACCTTGATAAAAAATTGAAAATGAATAGGATTTTAATCAATGGAGTAGCAAAAAGAAGAATGTGAACCTAATTTCTCCCTAAATAAAATATATAATCTTGCTTGAAAAAAGAATAAGTGAAGAATATCAGGCTAAAGGTACCTTTAGTAAAGGTCTGTGAGGTATATATATAGATATTTATATAATGAGGAAGGTGGAGAGGAAATGAGTTAATTTGTACCAAAAAGATGGGAGTTGCTAAAGAGAGAAAATGTCATCCAAGAACGTAAGCAATATTAAAATATGTACAGGCAGCCAAGCCAGTGATATTATATTACAATCAATTGAAGTATTCCAAATCGTAATGCTCTCTTAGTGGATAACAAATATGAATTGGCACTCGTTCTCCGACAGTTATTTTTATTTCTATTATATATATATAAATTATATGGAGAAATTATTTCTAGGTCTTGATAAATGGCCCAACTGCTTCTATGGAGCTTATAAAACTTTCCTTAACGCATATATCAAAATATTTGGAAATTCAAAATTTTCATTTCACGAAAACTGTGAGATTTTTACTAATTTCTAAAGTAGTGAACGTAAACCTATTTTTTTGTCTTTTTGGTTGATCGATAAGCTTTTCAATAATTTGTGTAGGGCTTTTATTGATTTTTTTGAATCTCAAATATCACTTTAGCTCACCACCAGTATTTTTTATTTTTCAATTTCACCATTTTAAAAATCCGAAAAATAATACTTATGGGTCTTATTAGTGGTACAACTACTTCCAAATACCTTATAAAACTTTCTTTAATGCGTATACCAAAAAATTGGCAAATATTCAAAATTTGCATTTTCATGAAAACTGTGAGCTATAAATTACGTTTATGGATCAATTTTGCTAATTTCATAAGCAGTGATCGTAAGCCTACTTTTGTGTAATTTTGATCAATCAATAAACTTCTTAATAATCTGTGTAGGGCTTGTAATGATTTTTCTTGATCTCATATAATACTTACACTCTGGGCCAGTGTTTATTTATTTTTCTATTTCACCACATTAAAATTCTGCTAAATATACATACAAGTCTTAATAAATGGTCCAACTACTTCCGAAGAGCTTATAATACTTTGTTTAACATGTATACCATAAAAATTGCAATGGTTGAAAATTTGCATTTTTCACGAAAATTGTGAGCTATAAGTCACAATTTTACAAATCTATAAATGTCACACCCCGACCTGGGCTCCACCACATCCTGGGCTTGGCTCCGCCATAGCATGATATTATCTGCTTTGGGTCCCGACCACGCCTTCACGGTTTTGTTTCTGGAAACTCACACGAGAACTACCCAGTGGGTCACCCATCCTGGGATTGCTTTCACGTGAACTCGTTTAACTTCAGAGTTCCTATGAAATCCGAAGCCAGTGAGCTTTCAAAAGACATCGTGCTAAAAAAGGTGAGCA